TTTTTTTTTTTTTTTTTTTTTTTTTTTTTTTTTTTTTTTTTTTTTTTTTTTTTTTTTTTAGAAATTGAGATTGATAAACCGAACTTAGGTAAGGTAAATGTCACACATTAGATTCTTTTAATCTCGTAAATCGTGTAAAGTCTCATACTCTATAACCACACGTATATTTATAGATATATTTGATAAAACCGAACAAATTACAATCTAATAACTCAATTATCAAATTCTATTTAAAGCATAAATTGATCGTAAAATTTAAAAAGATAATTAAAACTATCCAAAGTAACTAATTAATGTAACAAGTTGGGTTTGATATGAATTAAAAAAAATGGACGAATATAAATATAGTTTATATTTATAATTAAATTTTGTTATAGAATTCAAGATTTATTATCAAATAAATTTGAACCATTGCTAATTATCTAAAATTAAATAATATAAAAAAATCGAAAAAAAAAAATACATTATTTAAATGAAATTCTGGTAACCAGTTATTTAATTATGAGGTATTTTTCTTCGGGGTATAAACAAAACCTACTCTGAAACAAAATCAATTTTCATCCGGTGGAAAGTCCATGTGCCGGTTCGCAATCGCAAACGATAACCGGAACCAAGCCAGGAAGCAGGTTCGACCGGGTCTAACCACTATCTTCCCAAAATACTCCGATTCCCAACACCAGTTTTGATTTATAGGCCAGATAGTACATGGGCATAATCGTAATTTAGCCCTGACAATTTTCATTGACGATCGAAGCAATGAGCTTCCTCCTCCATGGCTTCGCATGAACAACCTTCAATCTGGAGCTTCAACTCGTACGTGAAAAAAAAATTGTTATTTTTTATCATTATATTTTTTCTTTACTACTATCCGATTCTGTAGGAATTTTCCAAACCTCGGATGTCCTGGATCGTAGTAGCTCGAGTTGAGCACGAATAACGACGATTTGTTTCGGATTGAAAGTTGAGGTAGATTCATTTTATTTTTTAGTTTAATTATGAGTTTTAATCGAATTGAATTATTGCATTTTTGCTGTTGTTTCTTAGTGTTTCTGGTTGTATGGAGTTGGATTGGAGGTGTTTTACGTATCTCGAGAATTTAGCTTCTAGGGTTCCTTCTTTCAAATGTGCGGTTTTCTGTTTAGATTTTGGTTGGGTAGTTATTGATGGAAGTGTAATTAACATAAGGTCAACGAAGTAGAAAGGAAACATTCTATAATAATTTTTGGAGCTTCGAGCTGGAAATACTTTTATAGCAGAATTTAGATGGGCATGTCAGTTGGTTATTGGAGTCAAGTTTATGAATGGAAAGGTCATGGAAAAGATATCAAAGCTGCAGATACGGAGTGGAGTACTGTATGATGAAACTTGGTTCTTTCCAGAAATGAAATGTAGGAATCTCCTTAAGTTAAACATATTTTATACTTGACATTTGTTGTTTACTTGGTTTCTTTGGATATGGATTTTTGTCCATTTTTATTACTATTTGTGAATTTTGGATCTTGGACTCTCCAAGTGATTGGAACGTTTATGAACTATATTACGGTGGTATTAATCATTAGGCCAGCCATATGTGAGTTGAAATGCATTAGTTGATCCAGCTGCGTGCTATTTTTCATAAACTGTTATACTAACTTTAAGAGTCAATCTTCTCTGGTTTCTTCCAGTTCGTTTGTCGGTTTAACCATACAATTCTGGTATAATGAAACTGCAACTACGTCTATACTGTTCGTTTTAGGATTTTTAAAGAGGAGTGTCTATGATCAACTGAAGTAAGGTCAAATGGTTAAGGTGTTAGAATCTCGATAAGAATGTTAGAGGTTTGAACCTCACTCCTACGAGGTTATTTGTGTTCATTGGAGGGTAGAGGTATATGCACATGGTCAATTGCCATAGCTTGAGCACATTGAATTTCTGCATCTTTATCTTTAGAAAAGTTTAGTTTCTTACATATTTTTTCATCTAATACATAATTAAGACCCTCATAGATGTAATACCTGACTGGAACTTGTGTGCCTGTGTACATGAGCGAAATGTAGGTGGGATTATGACTCTAAAGAGCTCCAGCGTGAGATAAAAATGCTGTGTCTTACATGGTTTGCAATTTGATCATGCTTGGGTCCTTCTTGTATTTGGTTTTATTTAACAGATAGTTTCCCTTTTGGAAAAAAAAAAAAAAAAAAAAGGGGATTCTCACTTCAATGCGAGTATCCTCACTTTAAGGAGGAGGATGAGGAGGTGGTTTGGTTAAGTATGAATAGTTGACTATTATGTTGGAAGATTTAGAGCATAAACATAGGATTGGAGAGAGGTTGTCAAGAACCAATAGCTAGTAGACAATGTAATGTAGTAAGTTATACCTATGGAAGTGAAGGAGAATGTATTGAACTCCACAGATGCAAGGTTATGAAAGTATCTACAGGTACCTTGGTTCATATAATGTTGGAATACAAGATTGTCTTGGACCAGGAAAATATTTCTGACACTTGGGCACAGGTTATCTATTTAGTGGATCAATTATACAATCATCGCCTTTTCACCCGTCTCCTTTTGCATGTAAATATCTTTTCAGTGAAATTTCCTTTTGATGAAAGTATTATACACCATTTAATTAGAAAATTGGTCTTTTGTTTTGTTGAGATAGTTTTATCTTATTATTCTATACTAGTTAGAATTCTTGGTCTTAAGAGGACACAAGGAATTGAGTGGTAGGGACTAGGGAGTAAACAGATGAGACAATGTTTAGTTTCTGACCCAAAGTTTGTGTTCCCTAAAGTGGAATATTCACTCAATAGGATTCCAGAGACATGTTTCTTAGTTAAACAGCTTTTCCTGTATTTATATACTGAAGTGCTACTTTTTTTTGCCTCTGAATATTAGGGTGTGAAATTCTTCCCTGTTTGGACTCCTATTAATTTTATTTTTAACAATCTTGGATAGGTAAACAATCTTATTGTTTCAAAGTAAGAGTCCAAATCTCCTTCCTGTGTGTTACTTTGCTTGCTATGGCATGGATGATGCATGGACTCTAACCTGATGGTGATGTCTAGCAAGTTTGAATTCACTTCAGGGAGCCCGGATAGACCGTTACAATCTAGTGGGCAACGTGGAGCCCACATGGCCGTTCCACTAGACAGATCTGGTAGCTTTCGTGAGAGTTTGGAGAATCCAAATTTATCTACTCTTCCAAATATGTCGAGAAGTGCTTCTGCTGTATCACAAGGGGACGTTTTAAATTTCTTGCAATGCTTGCATTTTGGTCGAAAGTTGGTTGCCACAGATGAAAAGTCTAATCGTCAAGGGGACTTCAGCAGACAGTTACAACTTGCTCTTAGTATGTCACCTGATGATTCTCCATCTAGTTCTTCAAAAGGTAAATTGCCATCATCTGTGATGCGAGAAGAAATCAAGCGGATGAAGGGTAGTCTACGGGAGTGCTCTGTCAAAGCCAGGTAGTTCTTCATAAACTTGTATTTTGAATCTGAATTTGTCCAAGTTATTTGTCAGATCCTTTGATTTTTTTTTATTATTTTCTTCGGAACAGGGAACACTTAAAAATTTTCAATGAAGCCTTATCTGTATTTAACAAGTTTTTCCCAAGTGTACCATCAAAAAAGAGGTCCCGGTTAGAAGGTTATAACAATGAGCGGTCCAATTTCATTGTATCCGGTGAGCGGTCAGCTAGGGGGCAAGTAGGTAAGTTTGGAAATCAGAGTAACACGGCTGTTTTTGAACATGAGATGCAGAAATCTGAAGAACGAATTAAAAACGCTATGCCCAATAAACGCACGAGAACTTCTTTGGTGGATTCAAGGGGGGTTTGTACCTTATACCTCTTACATATTTATGTGCATTTATTGCTTTTTATTCTATATTTTGACCCTGTTTCATTTTGTATATGTATGTTTTATATGGTTAACTCATTACAATAGTTTCTTTGTAGTTGTCCAAATTGTCTTTCCTTTTTTATGTTTGACAAAACTTTGATACCCATATTTGTCTTGCTTAAATCTTATGTCATACTTAAATTTCTCTTTTTTACTAGTAGATTTTCACAATGTTATTAATCTGTTGCCACAATGTTATTAATCTGTTGCAGTTTTCCTTGAATTTATGCTGAAATTTATATGAAATTCAGCTCCTCTTCTGTTCCTTGACATTTTTCATGGATTTCAAATTCTACAGATGGATGTTCGTGGTAATGCTCCTGTGAGACCATCTGGAGGTGCTGATAGGGAAAGAGATGCACTAAGACTTGCAAATAGTTGTGCTGTTCCAGGTGAAGACAGGAGTTTATCAATTGGCGTTGATGGTTGGGAGAAGTCAAAAATGAAGAAAAGGCGATCTGGAATAAAGTCAGATGTCTCTTCAAGCAGTCAGTCAACCAAACCAGTTGATAGTTATGATGAAGTTAAGCAGCAATTGCAGCAAAGACCGGTTTCTGATGCTCGATCACGAATGAATAAAGATAGCCATGGGTTTAGGTATGACTTATTGACTATTGTAAACATCCTCCTATGTCCACCATTTGACCATATGGCTTAATGACATGTATTTATGTATCAACTTGACGACTAAATTTTTTGTAATGATTGAATTAGTTATGGTCCATGCTACATTTAGTCATATACTCTGATAAATATCTGTGATATTTCTGATGAAAATGATGCTGGAATATGCATGCAAATCCTTATCACTTATATTTTACTTCATACTATGGTTTTATGCTTGAAGCTTGCATAGTCTAGAATTGCCCCTTGGAGAGTGATAATTATAATGTGGTTTTTATAGGCCAGGGGTGGCTAATGGAGCTCCTGGTGTTGGAAAATCTGAAGGTGTTGCTCAACAGAATGGCTTGGGTATTCGTTCATCCATGTCCAGGACTGATTTGGACGGCAATTCCCTTGTCAGTGACAGGAGAGATATTTCTATTGTTTCGGACAAAGAAAGAGTGAACCTCCGGGGTGTTAATAAGTATAACTCTTCCTTACTACAATAAAATATTTTCATTTTTTAAATGATCAAAGCCGTCTACTGCATAGTCTTTTGAATCTTTTTGCTGCATTTCTCCCCTTTCACATGTACTTTCCTTCCGTTTAATTTTTGGATCTTAGTTGGTTTAAACTCTTCTCCAAGCATTATTACAAATTTGAGATTTGAAATGTCCTTCACATCTGTTCCCTCTGTTTTGACCATATGCTTATGAGTTTTTCATCTTTCAATTGGTTAGGTCAAATGTTCGCAACGATATTGTTTTAACCAGCCCTACATCAAATGCTAAAGTGAATCCATCTGTTCGTGCTCCACGGTCCAGTTCAGGCATTGCTCCAAAATTTTCTCCGGTTGTTCATAGAGCAGTTCCTTCTAATGATTGGGATATGTCAAATTGCACAAATAAGCCTACTGCTGGTGGTGGTGTGAACAATCGCAAACGCATGACATCAATGCGGTCCTCATCCCCTCCAGTTTCCCAATGGGCAGGCCAGAGGCCACAGAAGATCTCCCGCATTGCAAGGAGGACCAATCTGGTTCCTATTGCTTCAAGCAATGATGATACTCCTTTGGATAACACATCTGATGTTGGGGGCAATGATACTGGCTCGGGATTTGGTAGACGCATGTCTGGTAGTTCTCCCCAGCAAGTGAAAATAAAAGGTGAACCATTATCCTCAGCTGCCCTATCTGAAAGTGAGGAATCTGGGGCTGCTGAGATCAAATCTAGAGAGAACACCCGAAAATCGGACCATTTAGATGATAAATCTGAACACGGTGTTCAGAAGGTACCTACCTTAGTTCTGCCGAATAGGAAGAATAAATTGATTGATGAAGACATTGGAGATGGGATTCGGAGACAAGGGAGGACTGGTCGTGCTTTCACATCCACTAGGTCTCTCATGCCAATGACAGTTGAGAAGATTGAGACTGTCGGAACTGCAAAACAGCTTAGAAGTACCAGACATGGATTTGATAAAGTTGAAAGGTTAGACATATTTTGCACATATAAAGTTTCTAGCTTATCTATAAAATGTCATTGCGGTATTTCATTTAGTTCCAAAATTCTCATAATTTTTCAAATTCCATTCAGCAAGGCAGGTCGTCCACCTACTAGGAAATTTACTGACCGCAAGGCATATAAACGTCATAAGCATTCAGCAATGAATGTGGGGACAGATTTTCTTGGTAAATTGTACTTCGGCTTTATACTTCAGCTTCTTTGTTAGCGTGAGAATTCCTCCCCCATATCACCCTTTGTCTAATCATGTTTGGTCGACTTTAGTTGGATCAGATTACGGGCGTGAGGAGCTAATGGCTGCTGCTAATGCTGTTATAAATCCTGGTTTGTTCTTAGGTTTCAGCATACATGTTTCTCTACGGATGTGAAATGCTATTATCTCTCTCATGCTGCATATGTTAATAACACTGCTACAACAGGTCACACTTTTTTCAGCCCATTTTGGAGACAGATGGAGCCATTCTTTCGTTTTATATCTGAAGCAGATATTACACACTTAAGAAAACAAGTATGGCCTATTTTTTTCTATCTACCATTAGTTTTCTTCTTTCGTTCTACCTCTTTATTTTAATCCTGCAGGTATGGCCAGATGGTTATTTTCTCCTTGTAGTGCTACGAATATGTATATGTTATATTTCAGCATCTCGAATTAAGTAAAGTATAGTGGGAGAGACGTTCTCTCAGTTTGGCTTTATTCGAGGTTATTGAGCGGAGACTAATAAGGAGAACTTTCTTATTAGTGGGTTGCATAAGCTTCCTAAAATATGAAACTTTCTTTTGAACTTTTCTCTGTTTCTAGTCATCTAGCAGTAGTGTTCTGTTTCATCTGTGCTCCTTTTGACTTTCTTGCCTATCATCCTTGGTTTATTTGAACAAATCATTTCTTGGACTGCCATCTGAATTAGTTATGGTATAAAGCTGGTGTACTTTTATGTCAAAACTATCCTAATTTTTCTATGTTCCTTCTTGGTTTCTCTTTCAGGGAGATCTTGAAGTTACTGCATCAGGGCCAAAAGTTGTTTCAGACAAGGACACTTCCAATATTAGTCTCGATGATTTTGAGCACCTTGAAAATGAAGCAAGAGGAGAAGTTCCTTTAGGACATTTAATTCACGAGTCTAAAGATCATACCGTGGTTCCTTTATACCAGAGACTCTTAGCCTCGTTAATTCCAGAGGAGGTTGCTGACAACAAAAGTGAGGACACCAAGTATGATAATTACGGAATGTCCGACTTAGATGAAGATTTTAAACCAAACAAATTGAGTCACGAAATTTTACCTAGTTCTCAGCTTTCTGTGCATTCGGCTAATGATGATTATAACATGAGAGGAGGATCAGGTTCAGATCAACATATGCCTGAAACAGATAGACAGAGCATCCCAAACTCTGTGATGATGTTAAATTTCTCAAATTCCCTGAATGGCTTGGTCTCCAATCAAACCTTGATGCCTGGAATGGTCTGTTCAGAGTTGCAGTATGATGACATGCCGTTGAATGAGAAACTTCTCTTGGAGATTCAAAGTATTGGAATTTTCCCAGATTCAGTGGTATGTTTACATTCAACTAATTAATTCTTCAATAGAGGAAAGAGAGTACGACATTCCTCTGATGGCTACTTATGTATCTTGCTCAATACCTGAAGTGGTTTTATATGTGAATAAACAATAAACATTTAACTGCTTGCTGGAATTTTCTAGCTCAAGTGTTAAAATTGAACTTGCGAGTTCTTTTTTAAATATTAAAATCATGTGTCGTCGTATAAACAACTCACTGTTTCTATTTTTAACTTGTATGTATCATAAGTAGTGACTATTCCCACAGATCCCTGCAATCCTTTAATTCTAAAGTGAAAATATGAAAACATGGTTTTCTTATTTAATAAATGTTATGGAACTGCCAAATGTCTATGAAGTGCTAATGCACATAAGTGGATGTGGCTCTTGGTATGGATATTGCGTTTTTTTTTATTCCATTGTAAGCCATGCATTAAGTTTTGTCTCTTACACGTACTTTGTGCTAATTCCATTCTTTCTGTTTTATTCCTTTGTAATTATAAATCAATTGAATAATGCTCTTTGTTTTTTTCAGCCTGAAATGTTGCAGTTAGATGAGGAAGAGATCACTAACGACATCCGTCTGTTGGAAGAGAAGAAGAATGAGCTGGTACACCTTTAATAAGTTAAAACTAGCAAATTTTATCAATTCATGCTATACTTATATCTACATATTTGTCATGGCTTGGTACCTGCATTTTTTTTTAATTCTCAGCTCATTGTGGTAAGACTCACACGTACAATATATTATTTCCTAAGCAATTTTCTGGTTTTATTCAATGATACAAATAGGTTTCAAGAAAGAACTCTTTGCTTGACAAACTGTTACAATCTGCCTTGGCCACAAAGCAGCTTCAAGAAAAGTATAGTTTCCTCTTTGGACTATTTAATGTATAGCATTTTAACATCCATAAATCTTCTCCATATTCAAGGTGTTAACATCTTTTAAATCTTTTCAGAGAGTTTGAAAGGCTTGCCATGGATAAACTTGTGGCAATGGCTTACGGGAAGTATATGGTAATCTCCCCCCCTCAGCTTTATATGTTAGCTTCGTCCAACTTGTTGGCTTTCCCTATATGTTTCACTTTTGTTCCGTTGTCCTTAGCACATGAACTCCTAGTGACCGCTGCAATCCCTGTGTGATATGCATGAATCTTTTAAAGTTGGACAATAGTTTCAGGTAACTGATGAAGACGTAATTGGAAATGGATAAAGGAAATTTTTGCTTCCGCGTTCTGTTTTCTTTTCCCTCTAGAATGAGAACTATTAAATGGTTTTAAATTTTTTTTGTAGCAGAAGTATGGAATGAATGATTTAATTTTTGTTGGGAGATTCATTTTAGTAAAACAAAACTAGTGATACATTTTTCCTTTTTCTTTCTCGTCATCTTTTTAATTCTAGTTTCATTTGTTGAGAATGAGTGATTTCTTTCATCTCCACTTATTCTCAAGCCCATTATGGTCTGAAATGTTGTTGTATATTGCTATCCTCTTATGGAAATATAAGTTACGAAATTCTTGGTCAACAGGCTTGCAAAGTTTCTAATGCCTCCAGTGGAAAGAGTTCCAGTAACAAAATGGCAAAGCAAGCTGCCTTGGCATTTGTTAAAAGAACATTGAACCGATGTCATAAATTTGAGGATACAGGAAAGAGCTTCTTCAGTGAGCCTTCATTTCGAGAGATATATTCTTCCTGGTCTGTCAATCCCAATAGTGAAAGACAATCAGATCCTGTGGAGGGTGAATCGGAGAAATCATATGCCTCCATTCAATCTCTGGATGCAAGAGTCTCAGGTGTGTCTTAAGATGCCTTGTAGAAATTTGTGAAATTCTTCCAATAATCCTGTGATATCTTCAACATGAACCTCAATATTGCCATTGGTGTCATTCTGAACTTTTCTATTTGATATTTTCTCCATTATTTTCATGTATATCGTGTATGAAATTGATATACTTCTGCAGCTTTGGCAGGTTCACAGAATAGCCCTTCATACTTTAGTCAGAATGTGGAAAACCACGATGTTACCTCCGGCAATGTGCGCCCACCTGCTAATCACCAATCTGAGCGAACAACTGGAAGAGAAGAATTATGGTCAAACAGGGTGAAAAAGAGAGAACTGTTGCTTGATGATGTTGGTAATGCAGGTGGCCCGTCTGTCATTGGGAGTTGTATTTCAAGCAGTGCAAAAGGGAAGAGGAGTGAAAGGGATAGAGATGGTAAAGGGCATAACAGAGAGGTGTCATCTAGAAATGGAACCAAAATCGGTAGGCCAACACTATCCAATACTAAAGGGGAAAGGAAAACTAAGACAAAGCCTAAGCAGAAAACTGCCCAATTGTCAATTTCTGTTAATGGCCTTCTAGGCAAGATGCCAGAGCAACCAAAACCAGCATTGTCTCCTGTACTAAAATCAAGTACTTCAACTGGTGGTTCAAAAGAAAAGGATCAGTTTGGCTTGGATGGACTTGATGACCCCGAGTCCGTGGATTTATCTAACTTTCAATTGCCAGGCATGGATGTATTAGGTGTTCCTGATGATCTTGATGGCCAGGGTCAGGATCTGGGTTCATGGTTAAATATTGATGATGATGGTTTACAAGATCAAGACTTCATGGGCCTTGAGATTCCAATGGATGACCTCTCAGATTTAAATATGATGGTTTGAAGTTGCTCTCCTTGTATAGTCTTCAAGACTTGTTTATTAATATTTTACAAACTAAAGGGAAATCCTACGTTAAGGGTGACTGGTAGTTGCATAGTTATTGGCTACCAATCCAAATTAGGTTATTAGATTCTTTTTGAGGCTCCTCTTCAAGTTATTTCAAGTAAATGTTTCGGATGTTTGGAATTTTGCTCCTGTATTTAGTTGGTGACTTTGACTGTAAAGATAGCCTTGTTCAAGCTACAAGTTAGTATAGTCATAGTGATATCTAGGGTACACAGTATCCTTCATGTAGCTTTTTGATCAGAGAATGATACCTCTTGTACATAAGCTTATATTTGAAATAAATCATCCTTTTATTCTACAAAGGTCTGTAAATTGTTTGTTAACTCTATTTCTTAATTTCTTTTGGTACATAATTCTTTTAGTATAGTTTATCTGTGGAACTGCTGCAGCAGATGTTTATTCTACAAGGGTCTGTAAAATCTGCTTGGGAACGCAAGGTAAGTCTTGAAGTTGCAATTTATAAATTATATACTCCTGATATTATTACTTGTGCTTTGATCATCATTAACGATCTTAAAGTACTTGGGTTTTGCAAGTGTATGATCATCGTTAACAATGTATTCAGAACTTATGGAGCCAAGACATCATGGTGTGGAGGATTCTAGTATAAGATCGAAAAGGAGTAACAAATCGCAGGCTTCTAGAGAGCTTTCTTTGGTAAAAAAGTATCAATGAAATTTCATTTCCCAATTTATGTTGATAAAAATTTGCTTGTCAAATTCATAATGTTGTATTTACTATCCATATGAAGTTTATGCTTCCAAGAGGACCATGAAGAAGCCAGTTAATTAATCTTGATACATGATATCAAATTTAAGAGGTATTTTGAGAGTTTCTAAGTTGCAATACATTACTTGAGTTTTCTGAAGAACCTTGTGTGTACTAGGAACAGAGCTGTAGTTGCATCTGTATATGGGATACTGATACTATAGCCTTCTTGATAGATCTGCTGGCGTGTCTTGTGCAGGTCTTCAATCCATTCACTTAGGGAAGTGGGTTACAGTTTCCGTAACTTTGATGTTACAAAAAGTGCATTTGCCTGGTCGCTACAAAAACTTGAGGTAATGAAAGTTTCAGTTTCTCATTTTCATCCAGCCTCTTCAAGATTGAAGCTAGGATACTGATTGGATGTATCATATTCATACTGATAAAATTTTAGAGCAAAAGAAAAATGATGCAAAAGGGATAGTGTAAAGGTCCAAGTTCACCGCTAGTAGATATTGTTCTTTTCGGACTTTCCCTCAAGGTTTTTAAAACGCGTCTACTATGGAGAGAGTCTAGTCCTACACCTACCAGTGTCTCGCACCGTCCGGTAACTTGGCTCTGATATTATTTATAACAGCCCAAGAGAGTCTAGTCCTACACCGACCAGTGTCTCGCACCGTCCGGTAACTTGGCTCTGATATTATTTATAACAGCCCAAGCTCACCGCTAGCAGATATTGTTCTCTTTGGGCTTTCCCTTTCGAGTTTTCCCTCAAAGTTTTTAAAACGCCCGTTAGGGAGAGGTTTTCATGCCTTATAAAGAATGCTTCGTTCTCCTTCCCAACGGACGTGGGATCTCACGGATAGACTCTTTTTATTGTTATTATTATTATTGATATGCTTATTTCTATTGCTGCATGTCTCCAATTTATCTCCATTAGAAACTTGAGGTAATTCCAAACGGAATACATTTTCCTAGTCAATACAATAGGTTGTGATAAATAAAATTGAAAAAGTAGGATGTTAGTTTATCATGGTCATCCAGCCCCTTTAAGATCAAAACTTGAAATTTATTCTAGGTTTGTTAGTGTGTTGTTTGGATGGTCAAAATTACACAACTAATTTGCTGCAGTCTCTGGATTTCTTTTGCACGCACCTATTCTTCCTATATTACAAAAGAAATAACAGTTTACGCTCTTTATGTTTAGGAAATAGAAACCATTTATTGTTATCAGTTTAAGCTTTGTCAATACTGATCATTGTTATCTTTTAGAGGAAATATAGGCACACTGAAAGTTTCAGTTTGACTACATGCAGGAAATAAGATCTGAAAATACTATTTGGCCATCAAATTCTAGGCTACGAAGATGTTCGGACTCGAAACCGATGGTGTTATACATGATCCACACCCGTTCAACTCCCAGGAAGGCTCGATGTTGGTTCCTCTGATATGTAGTAGTAACCTAGGGAGTATTTTCTTAGATTGTTCTTGGCTCTGTACTTCTTTCTATCAATCAACCCCCATCTCACTACGGCCAGTTTCTTACCATGACGGCCATTTGTATACTCCAGATATTCAAGGGACATAGGCATCCCTTACCATAACATTCCTTGCCATAAATGCATTATTTTTTCCTTGAATGATCACTTAGATCGAAATTTAATGTCAGATTACAGCGACAAATTGAAAATTAATATCAGATTGCGACGTGTCTGGGATGTGGATGATCTGAATTTGAAGGAGGAAGATAGGCTAGCAACAAACAAATGGTGTCTCTCTCTAATGAAGCTGAGATGTTGTGGATTCCTGCACTCTCTCTAATGAAGCTGAGACGTGGATTCTTGCACTTAGCCATGGTGAGAAACTCTCACGGGGAGGAGACAATGTTAGCCTCGAAGAGTTTAGGGTTTAGAGTTTAGCCAGACGAACTTGAATGATACCCTAACAAACCAAAGATGCAGCCAAGCGGTGCATCCAAGCCATGCTAGACGAACTTGAAAGATACAAGAGTTGGGTGGCCTCAGCAGGCAAGCTTTGATGTTTCTTTTTCCATTTTAGAAACTTATGGATGATTAGATTATGGCCATCCTCGTAATCTTTAGAATCTTCATGCACAAATTTAACTTAAGTTGACAATATAAAACAGAAACATGAGGACTAAAAATCATTCACACTCCCTCTGCTGTCATAACAAGTATTTATTTTCTTTTATGCTTCAAATTTTACATGGGGAGTGGTAGAATTGGATTACAAAATGTTACAAGGGGCCACGATTTGAAATCTCTCGACACGACATAATATCACGGTATCATTCTGATCCATCCACAAGAGGGATCAGAACCATCTAAATTGTGACCAGCAAAGGAGCAACTATCATCCCGTTTAGATTGAAACACCTCTTTCATTAAGAAGCAAACTGAAGTAAAACAAACAGCATTCATGAGAAAGTGAGATGGGAGCGGATTCCTTGTTCATCCTTGCAAGCCTTGAAATCAGCAAACAATTGAGATTCCCGTGTATGAGCCAGAATGATCAACTATAAAAAAGAAAATGATGCATTATCAGCTCAAACACCAGTTAATGACTAAGCTTGGTTAAGATAGACAGAGACAGAGGAGCATGTCTGGGTTATCCTGGACAATATCACACTTCTAACTTTCATTACTTCTAGAGATCTCAATTGGCCATGAATAAGGCATCATCGTCCATGCAAGATATTGTAATCTAAAGTAAAATGATAAACCAATCACCAAACCAGATAGATTTCAATTTCTAGTGACTACTTTTTTAGATCTGATTTTAGAAATTAACATATCTCATAAGTTAAACAGGTTTCATGTAGGCTCTTAAGCTTCTTGTGCTGCGTGTTCTTATATTTCCTATAGGTCACGGGTTCGATCTTGCTATATACACGGATACTTTCCCTTAAGTCTCGTCTAGAAGAAAGCAGGTATCTCTGATTTACTCATATTAGATATGCACGCAGTCATACACAGCTATGCTGGGGAACCATTGACGGATGTTCTAGATGCCCAACTTTGCAAATTAGCAAAGCTGAAAGCATAAGAATCTCTCACTACCAATGAGGATAAACAGTTGGTTTTTTAAAAAAATCATATCTGGGCTGAAGGGAAAACATGGCTTACATTACATGTTTTAGCATGCAAACATGAAGTCTGAAATTTCCACTCCATCGCACCAAATGATAGATTTCGTTGCTAAGTCGAGATTGCGTCACGTGATTCTCAACAGAATATAGAAAGATATCAAAAGTTTTTAAAGGGAACGTAGTTCCTAACATACCAGATAAAATTTAGAAAGTTGCAAGTGGAGACCCTGCATCATTGAAGTAAGATGACAGGTCAATATCTGTATCTTCATACATCTTGATGAAAGGATGTTCCTGAAAATCACACAAGAGGTGAACAAAAATTTCAGATTTATTTTCTCTATTGTGCAGACATCTTGATTATCAACATGTGGGAGGAAGAACTACTATATACCAAAAGTTCACGTGCTGACAGTCTATCCCTTGGGTCCTTTTGCACACTATTACATAAAAATAACCAGTTTCTGAGTTAGCATATGTAATGTGGAACACTTGAAATAAGCTAGAGTAAAAGAAAATATCTACTTACAGATAAAAATTCCTAATTGAAGTTCATATAATGATCGACAAATTCTCAGCACAAAGGATCCGAGGAAAAGTTGGATTCTTACCATGCAGAAATGAACGAACAGAAGTTGGGAGTAAATTGGTCAGCCGGAGCAGAAGGAGGTTCGCCCTCAACAATGGCTTCCATAAGCTCATAAAAATTAACCCATCCTCCCTCTTGCTCTGGTGGGGAATAAGGAAATTTTCCGGTTGCACACTCGAGAAATATCAGGCCCAAGCTCCAAATGTCACTTTTATTATCATATTTTTCTCCAATAATTCTCTCTGGCTATAAATGACAATGCAAATGCATAGAGACTCCAGTCAGTTTTACACATGTTTAGAAGGAAAAACGTATGGCTCTTTCCAGAAAAAAAAAAATGAAGGGAAGACAGACAGCCAGAGAATTGTATTTATGTGAATATATTGAGAAATGATACTCACAGACATATAGTTATACGTGCCAACAAAAGTATTAGCCTCTCCATATGTGCTTGCCATAATCGCACTGACACCAAAGTCAGTAATCTTGACTTCCCCTCTATGATTTATTAATAAATTAGAAGGCTTTAAGTCCCGATGAATGATGTGTCGATCATGGTGAAGGTATGACAACCCCTTCAGCACCTGTATGGAAGGAGAAAAGGAGTTAAAAGGAAGTCTACAATTATTTCCTAAATTTAAAAAGAACAAATTCTCCATATCCAAGCAGGTTCTACCTACCTGCTTACAAAGGGCAGCAAGATATGGTTCTTGAACTTGTTTAACCTTTTTCAAGAAATCTGCTAAAGAACCTCCATCCATGTACTCTAGGATGATATATATAGAGCCATTATCATAGAAAGATTGGTAACAGACAACTATATAAGGGCACTGCGCTGATTGATTGATTTTCAATTCTTGTGCAATCTGCTTGCGGTGAGACTCCTCAATTTTCATCTGAATTACCTGAAAGTGTATTCATTTGATATATGATATGTTATGATTTTTTCTTTTTGCTAATTAACGTGGATAGTTATTACTTTCTTTGTTGATTCTAAAATCTCTAATGGGAAGATTACAAGCAGGAATGTGAAACAGCTTGTCTTAACGCTGACTGACAGACTTAGCACAACAAAAAGCTATCCATTAATGTTCATATGGTAGAGTAGATTTAACTATTTATGGTTCAAACTGCGAAAGAAAAACATATCTTCTTTTATTAACCAGCTTTACGCTCACAAGAAAATAAGCTCAGAAATTCCATCAACTAAAATCCTCTCATTCCAATAAAGAAATCAACTAATGACATAGTCGTCAAGAAATTAAGGACCTTACAGAAAATAGCATCAAAATACTTGGAACTTAAAGAAAAAAAGAAAAAAAACTTAAATTCTCATGAAATATCCAAACACTGTCAACTTTTTTAAAAGAGTCCCAGCTAGCTTAGAAAGGACGATTTCAAAGCAAATAACTATTGAATATGTTAGTTTCAGAAAACTCCAAAGACAGATGAAGGGGGGCTAGTCGTTCATAGTTCAATATAATGACGATTAAGTTGCTCAAGCCTCTACTTGAAGCATCAACTAAAAAGTATATAAAGAACAGAAGTCAAAGGCAGACAATTTCTAGGAAGAAGATAACGCTTAAGCCGTGCAGTACCTTCAATGCAAAAAACTGAGCAGTCCATTTGTGCTGAACTAATTGCACGGTTCCACCATTTCCTTTTCCAATGACTTTAATTATGTCTATGTCCGCTAAACTCAGCTGATCATCTGTAGGCTTAATCGGAGGTGGCTGAACACATGGGTAGACAGAAACAAGTTAGTATCCTAATATATACACATCGTTCTCAAGGCATCATAGTCAACCACTTTTTTCCCTTTGATCCCTGTGTGTCTAAAAACAAACAAGTTTAGCGTAGGAATCGACATGTTATATACTTCAATTGATTGTATTCGATAATCATCTAGTTTTGGTTTTTTAAACATTACGAGTTGTTTTGTTTTTTTTTAAAAAAATCCGAACCAAGTTTTGAAAACCGAAAAAAAAAAAAGAGTAATTTCAAAAACTTATTATGTTTCTGCTTTTGGAACTTAGATAAGAATCTAAATATTTCTTTAAGAAAGTTAAAAGAGCATACTAAAGAAATAGTAAGGAAACAAGAACATTTCTAGTAAGGAAACAAGAACATTTTCAGTAAGGAAACAATAACATTTTTTAAGAACTAAAACGAAAAACCAAATCGATATTAAACAGTCTTACTTAACTAAGAGTTAGTACTAAATCTAAGCCCAATCACAATTGCAATCCATGGTTCATAAATCCATACTTAGTTGCAGAACATCTTTATCCTATGTAGCAAGAAATCGCGTAATTGAAAACTAGAGCACATTATTGTCCATCTAAAAATACACTGTGCTGCAAAACTGAGATTTCTTACTGCTTCAACTTCACTCTTGGAAACAATCCGAACCCCATCTCTGTTTACGAGCAGATCGCCATCCTTAAACGTGCCGCTCTGCGTTCTATACAAGAAAGAGAACCAAAATTCCAGATTCATCAGAACTTTCCACTTACGCAACACAAACAGCGAGAGAGAGAGAGAGAGAGAGAGATTACAGGAACTTCGCTATGGATTGGTCATCTTGAGGGAGATTGAGCTTGAGGTTGAGGTTGTTGCTGAAGCCTCCCTTCCTCATTGATGGCAGATCTCTTCCAGGCAGCAACCGTCTAGAATTGATACTGGAATTGAAGCTTTTGAGTGATGAATCGATGATTGGGAGAGGGATATAATTCACAGAGACATCAAGAACATAACTATAGATGAATTTATGAAGTAAAACGATTATTGGAAAAGTGTCTAGTAGTAGTTGAAATGGATAGATTTGCGAAAATTAACGACAATTATCATACAAAATTCTAACACAAAACCCTAATATTCGCCATTTTTGTCAGTCACAGCTGATTTAATTTTCAAAAAACACGCTTGCGCTTGATTGGAGGATGCGTGACCGTTTACTTTTCTTCTCCCTCCCCTTAATCTTTGACTTTTCTCTTTCTTTGAATTTTACCAACTATGTTCGTCCATTTATCCATGAGAGCACAGAGTCACGGTCATGTTCGTCTAAGGCCTGTTGTCCATGTGCGCATGCCCATGACAAGCCCAACCCTTCATGTCTTTTCATGTTTTAGTATTTTACTCTTGTAGTTCTAGGAACTATGACGTTTCGAAAAAATTATGTCTAAGCTTGCCATACATGAAAATGCCTCCAAATGTACTATAGTGGAATATGACTAGTTCTCAACTTCTCCCTACCAATAGTTATGTACTGTGAGTCGTTGTTGTTACTCTCTTGCTTGCATATATAACGTCTCTTTCAAAATCTCTCTTTCAAAAATCTTTCTCTACCCACGTTTTCTAAAACCTTCTTCTTAAACTGAGGTCAGAGGCTCGAACATAAGTCGCTTGGTTGTAGGCAACATAAGAACGAATTGACTTAGCTCACTTGTTGTTGGAAAGTGAGTGTCGAACAATCGCAAGTTCGCTGCCATCAAGAGTGCGATTGTGACACATAGTGTCCTTGCTGACACATCACCCAATGACTGATTGTGATAACATTTGTAAAAACTCAAGTCCACTGCTAATAGATATTGTCCGCTTTAGCTCGTTACATATCGCTGTCAATCTTACGGTTTTAAAACAGTCTATTAGGGAGAGGTTTTTGCACCCTTATAAAAATCACTTTGTTCCCCTCTCTAATCGATGTGAGATCTCACAATCCACACTTCTTAGGAGCCCAACATCCTCACTAGCACACCGCCCCGTGACTAACTCCGGTACCATTTACAACAATTCAAGCCCACTGTTAGCTGATATTGTCCGTGTTGGATGATGAAAGTCCCACATCGGCTAATTTAGGGAATGATCATGGGTTTATAAGTGAGGAATACTAACTCCATTGGTATGAGGCCTTTTGGGAAGCCCAAAGCAAAGCCATGAGAGCTTATGATCAAAGTGGACAATATCATACCATTGTGGAGAGTCGTGTTCATCTAACATGGTATCATAGTCATGCCCTAAACTTAAAAAATGACTAAGACTCCAAAGGAGTCGAGCCTCGATTAAGGGGAGGCGTGCTTTGTGAGGCACGAAGGTAGTCAAAAATGACTAAGACAGGCGGTGGAAACTACCAAGCTGGAGTACGGTAGGGGCAGAGGGAATTTCCGGTGAAGCGGTGAAATGCGTAGAGATCGGAAAGAACACCAACGTACTCCAAAGGAGTCGAGCCTCGATTAAGGGGAGGCGTGCTTTGTTCGAGCGGAGGTGTGGCTAATTTAGGGAATGATCATCCATTGTGGAGAGTCGTGTTTGTCTAACAGTCTGTTTTTGCCTATTACGTATCATCATCAGCCTTATAGTTTGAAAACGAATTTACGAATCTTATCCCTAAAATTTTATTAGACTCCTAAAATAATAATCAAAGGAACGATCATTAAAATTCACACGTACCCCTCAAATAATGTTCCGGCCAAATAGTGGCATTACATTTCCCTAATCTTACCTAACCAAAATTTTGTCCTATTCGATTTTTATATTATACATATATTTTTATTTTATTATTAATTCCATTTTAAACAAACTGAAAAAGAAAGAGAGAGAGCACAGTGGAAGTTCCATTGTTCTTCAAAATCAGAGCTCAAACACGCCATTTCATGGAGCCAAACAGCAGCGCACCACTGTCCTGGGCACTGCCGATGCGCCGCCGTAGGTCCTCATCTCCGCCTTTGATTTCTTTGCCGGTTTTGATTATTCTCTTGCCGACGCTGTCTTTGATTCTCTTGTTCTTCGCAATCCGTCTGCTTCTTTCGCTCACGAATCAAGTTTTTTGGCCTAATTCGGTGAAGAAAAGCTGGGATTCGTTCAATGTTTTCCTTGTTCTGTTTGTGATTATCTGCGGCATTAATGGTAGACGAAAGGACGACGAACCGACCGCCGCTGACGTCGGAGAAAGCTGTGGTTCTGGTCGGAGAATGGTTGAGGTGAACGGGGACTCGGAGTTATCGCAGCATGGGTTTGAATTTGCAGAGAGGAGATTTTATGATTCGGTGATGAGAACGCCGGGAACGGCGACGGTGGTGACGGACCTGAGACATGAATCGCCGCGGGAAAATGGAAATGATGGGAATAAGTTCCTCTTCTTTGATGATTTTGAAACAAACAAGTTTCGTTCGCGGTCCTTCTCGTACAGAGCGCGAGGATGTGAAATAGAAGAATCGCCGGCGGAGATTAAGGTTATTCCGGTTGATTCGTTTGTGGCTAATTCGTCTCCGGCGTCTCACAGGATGAAGTCTCCCAATCCCCAGCCTCCGCCGCCTCCGCCGCCGCCGCCGGTTACTCGAAGGAAATCGAGGCAGACTATCGAGAAAAAGGAGGAAGTTCGCGAGGTCAGTACGAATAATGCTGAAATCGCGAAGTCACAATGGCCGCCGCTACCGCCGCGAACAGTTATTCCTCCGTCGCCGATTCGAGTTCGGCTGGAGGAGAAGTTTCGAAAGAGTGAACGGAAGAAGACAAATGTTAAGAAAGAGATAGCAATAGCGTTGGCTTCACTGTATAGGAAGAGAAAGACGAAGCAGAAAGCTAGAGATATCTACGACGGCGATCGACACTCTCCAACTGATCAACGACCACCGCCGCCTCCACCTCCTCCTCCGCCTCCTTCCTTCTTCCGCATATTCAAAAAACAAAACAAGAACAAGGAAGCTCCGTCCGAATCTGCACCGCTGCCGCCTGTCTCGTCGTCATCCCGTTCAACAAAGAAGAAAAATCAGATCCCCCCTCCGCCTTCACCGCCACCGCCACCATCATCACGGCAGAAAAATTCGACCGCTAGCCCCCGACCGCCTCTACCACCCAGGGTTCAAAATTCCACCGTCGAAAACCAAGTCATAAACAGCGCGGTACGGAATCCCTCAGAAACCATTCCACCGCCGTACCAAACGACGACGGACGTGAAATCCAGGGTTCGAGGCGATACCGTCGGGTCACAGAGCTCCGAAACGTTTTATTGCGGATCTCCGGAACCAGTTAACGTCGGTTCGTCGTCGACTAACGGGACGTCAGAGCCGGCCGTCGAAGTAAACGGAGTGGGGCCGGTTTTCTGTCCCAGCCCGGACGTTAACATCATAGCAGCAAATTTCATTGCCAGGCTAAGGGGTGAGTGGAGACTAGAGAGGATGAATTCGGTAAGGGAGAAAGAAATGTTGGGCCAGGCCCAACTTACGAACTAAGGGCGGGCCTAGGCCCAAATGTTTAGAATCTCCCTCGCTAACTGAGAATATCCGAAAAATTAGGTTTTTTTTGGTTAATCCTCTCCTTAGTGTGTTGTGTTGAGATTTATACGTAATTAATTAATTATTTTTATTACTTTATTTACCATTAATATTATCTATTTAATTAAAATATAAATTTATTACATTACAATTAATATTATCTATTTAATTAAAATATAAAGTTATTAATGTAATAGTATGATTGACATGTTCAAATAATAATCTAAATGGTCAAATATTATATGGATAAGCTTTAGTGTTTTTATTCCGGTAACAACCCTATTATACGGTCTAATTTGTAATCATTACAAATGATTTGATCGAAGTCGTTACACGTAAATAAGGTATCTTATAGAATGAATTTGTATAAGACTTGACCAAAAAACATTTAACTTCTTTTTATAAATTAAATTCTATCTTAATCGTTATTAACTTTGAAGGGAGGTTCTCTATTGGGGAATAGGAGGAGGAGGGATACTCTACAAATAACAAATATAGTAGATGATTTGTTCTCAAACTACTAATTTTATAACTTGAACAAACGCCCCCACCTTATTGTTCACAGAATTAATTTTATAACTTGAACAAAGGCTCCACCTTATTGTTCACAGACTTAATTTATGATTGGATTATGAATAAATGGTTGATCATAGGAGGATGAGTGTTACATTGAAGACCTAATTATAGGTTAAAATAGACTTCTGACTCAACTGTAATTATAAACAACACGGGAATGATTGACTATAATAATTATATCATAGACCTAATATATCCTACCATACAAAAATGCAACTTAGGTTTAGAATGAAGTAACTAAATTGGATAATTAAAGGGTTTAATTAATTAATTTTGTATCTAGTGATCTAATTCATAGTTCAATTTAATAAAAAAAAATCTTCAAATATTGTAAAAGAAAAAATATATTTAATTTAAAATTTCCGATTATTATTTTATATATTAGATAAATTAAATAAACTGAGAAAAAATATATTAATTTAAAAGATTTAAATTAATATTTATATATCTTAGATAGGTTAAATAGGAATAAAAAAAAATATACTTATTTATAGAAAAATATATTTATTGTTTTTTATACTTTAAATATTAAAATAATTAAATTATATCAATATATTAAATAAAAATATTTTTAAAAAATTGAATGAGATTGAATGAGATCTAAATTAAATATATTATATCTTTAAATATAATTCAAATAATATTATTTTTGGAGTCCTATTAATAAGAATAGATAGAAATACTATATAAAACTCTGTGTCACAATAGTTTTTTTTTAGAGGCTACCCAAACGGTAATGTGGAAGAATTTCTAGTTGCAAAGAGCCGGATACTACAAAGGTAGAATTCTTCCTCTCGTATTTATTGTTTTGTTTTAATTCTTAATAAAATCAAAATGGTATTCAATGTTTCCGCGGAAGAGTTTATTCCTTCACAGAGTTTTACTTAAAACAATTATATCAGATAACTTAAATGATTTTTTTCTATGATGAATGCAAGTGAGTGAGGACAAAACATATTGAAAAATTCTCGTATAATAAGAGATTTAGAATATCGGGACACATAGGTGACAAATTAGTAAAATGTCGTGCTAACACTTATCGATATGCATATAAAAAGATAATTTGTTATTTAATAAATTTCTAAATCTTTACTATTATTATATAACAAGTAATAGATTCTTTAAACTAAAAAAACTGAAAATAATAATAATTAAAAAGGGAAAAAATAAATTAAAAAAACGTAATTAGATAGCCTTAGTTCATTTAATACGCTATACGGATAGTTTGGGGAATGAATCCGTACAGCGACGTCGTTTTAATTTACTTTAATTTCCCTCTTCTTTCCCGCATTGAGAATTGAGAAATAATGATCAGACGTGCTAGGGCTCTACTCTAAGCGTCACCCCCAATTCACTGAGACGACACACCCGATGAAACTCGCCGGTCTCAAATCCGTTGAGAACGCTCACGAAGAGTCTGTATGGGCGGCGACTTGGATTCCGGCCACCGACAATCGCCCTTCCCTCCTTGTCACTGGCTCCCTCGACGAGACCGTCAAGCTCTGGAAGTCTGATGAACTCGACTTGGACCGCACCAACACTGGTCACTGCCTCGGCGTTGTTTCTGTTGCTGCTCATCCTTCCGGTTACATTGCTGCCTCTGCTTCCCTCGACAGCTTTGTTCGCATCTTTGAGGTCGATTCCAACTCCACTATCGCCACTCTTGAGGCGCCGCCTTCTGAGGTCTGGCAAATGCGCTTCAATCCCGAGGTAGTTTCTTGCGACTTTTTTGCCTCGGATTCTCGGTGTTTTGATTTTTGTTCTTTTCTGAATTTTCTCTTGCCGCTCTCTTATTCGAGGATGAAGCTAATAATTTGAGATTGTTTTGCCGTTTACGGATAGTACTGAACTTGTTTGGCTGTGATTTTTGTGGTTCAGATCGTCTACTTTTTATTAGAGGATCTTGCTAAGAATTTAAAACTATTTTGCCGTTCACGTAACCTGATTAGTAGGCGTTGAATTGGCGCCTTGGACATGAAAGTTCTTTATTGCAATAATCTTCCAATAGGCTTTGCATTTGCTTGTGTCATTTAGTGCTATGTAGTTACTAAGATCTTATAATTTTCATGAGGAAGAAAGCTCCCTTAACTCAATTATCTTTACAAGTTACCTTCCCAACCAAATTTAACAACTAAATAAGTCACATTGTCTAGTGAGAATAATCTAGAACGGACACTCACAGATATCTAAAAAAACAAGTTATTATCCTTAGTGTTCATGTCTCTCTGTTAGAAATGCGAATCTAGATAGTAGCCTTTTCATTTGTTATAGTTCTTTCTTTGTGCAACTTACAAGATACCTGATTTATTGAATTTCAGTTTGATCACCGACTTTCTTCTCAAAAAAGTTGGTAAATTGACTTGATTCTTAAATGAATGAAATGTCTGTCGATGACTGTGGTATGGTGAAGTATAGCTGCTCATTGGTCATTTTTTTCACCAGTATATCTTTATTCATTCAACTTGGATCAACGGTTCACTTTTATTGAAATTCTACTGAAACGAGGGCTGTCTTTCAATTATTTTCATATGCAAATTAGCCCTTTAAATGCAGGAATTGGAATGCCATTTGTGACAGTGACACTTGATAGATGTTGATTGTTAACAAATATTTTATCATGATTACTATCGTAGTTTATAGTTGATCGTAGGTAATTCTAATGGTTCTCTTGACATTAGGACAAATGTCAATAGCTGTTAACCTTCCTAACTTCTTTGATATATACTCGAAATCGTGGTTCCAGTGGCCTTATCATTTTATCAGATCATTGTTTGTTATCATATATGAAAGCTTGCATTGTTTTGGCTTTATGAAAACCTGTTGTTTCTTCCAAAATAGCAACTTTTTTCTGTATGTTCATAAATTTAACTAAATCAAGGAGAGCAATGTTTCAGTTTTATTCACTCTGACTAGAAAAGAAAAACCACAAAAATCATTTAATCTGTTTCACAGTTCATGTCCAAACTTAACAGTAACATTTGGATCAGGGTACCATGTTAGCAGTTGCTGGTGGAGGTAGCGCATCAATTAAGATTTGGGACACAAGCACGTGGAAGCTGGCTGCAACTCTATCCATTCCTCGCCCAGAAGGACCTAAGCCCACTGATAAAACTGCTAGCAAGAAGTTTGTACTTTCAGTAGCATGGAGCGTTGATGGGAGGAGACTTGCATGCGGTTCAATGGATGGAACCATTTCAGTCTTTGATGTAGCTCGCGCAAAGTTTCTACACCACTTGGAAGGCCACTTCATGCCAGTGAGATCCCTTGTGTATTCGCCTGTTGAGCCACGGCTACTCTTTTCAGCCTCCGACGATGCTCATGTGCACATGTATGATGCGGAAGGGAAAACTCTGATTGGAGCCATGTCCGGCCATTCAAGCTGGGTATTGAGCGTTGATGCAAGCCCTGATGGTGCTGCTGTTGCAACAGGCTCTAGCGACAGAACTGTTAGGCTTTGGGATCTCAACATGAGGACTGCCGTTCAGACAATGACTAACCATAGTGATCAGGTCTGGGGGGTTGCGTTTCGACCACCTGGTGCTGGCGTGCGGTCTGGTCGACTTGCTAGTGTGTCTGATGACAAGAGCATCTCCCTTTATGATTATTCTTGAAGCAGCAGACAGGAAGGCAAGGGCTGTTAGTAGTTTTGTTAGAAAGCAATTGCTGTCCGCTGCTTCATCTTTAGCTGTTGCCCAAACTAATCGTTTTATTTCTAAATTAAGTTGCTTGTCTTTTGAGTTATTATATCATTATAACATGGTGGTATTATATTCAATGATAGTATTCTGTTGTGAACTTCGTTTAACCAGCGTTCATCTGCCAGATTTGGAATCAAGGGCCAAATTTTATTACTAGGTAAAGTAGAGCAACAGAAATTAAAAGCCAGCCGGGTCAAAAGCGATAATCTACAAGGTACTACACTTTAGACATTGGAGCCTTTTGTAGTAAATAATCTTTAAGTACATCCATTACACTCCCATAATCAGCCTTCACTTGAACAGGTGGGTTGGCGAATTGGCAAGCCATGTCTGGGATTTCCTTGGAGTGATAATCAATTTTCGACTGTGTAAACTTCAGGCCATGAGCAGTGCTCACCACCACCGTCCTATCGGTCGGGCTGATGACACCTTGGTTTCTTAGCTTGATCAAAGCTGTTAGTGCCACCCCTGTGTGAGGGCAAATGAACATCCCAGTAGAGTCAGCTTGTGCCATTGCATCCATTAATTCCTCCTCCGTCGCTTCCTCGACGATGCCATTCGAATTCTGTAGAGCACAAACAGCTCTATCTATGGAAACAGGATCCCCAATCTGAATGGCTGAGGCGAAAGTCGAACTTGCTTTCACAGCCTTGAAATCTTTCCACCCAGATTTGTAGTGTAAATACAGAGGGTTAGCATTAGCTGCTTGTGCACAAACAAGCCTAGGAATCCTGTCAACAAGGCCAAGTTCTTGGCACATCTTGAATCCTTTGTAAAATGCATATATGTTCCCAAGATTGCCTCCTGGAATGATCACCCATTCAGGCACTGCCCAATCAAACTGCTGTAGAATTTCAATGGCAGCAGTCTTTTGCCCTTCAAGCCTCAAACTATTCAAGGAATTGGCCAAGTAAATGGGCAATTCTGCTGTAACTTCCCTAATTAGCTTCATGCAGCCATCAAAATCAGTGTCTATACTCAACACAAAGGCTCCATTTGCAATGGGCTGAACTAACTGTGCCATGGAAATCTTGTTTGCAGGAAGGAAGACGATTGAAGGGATCCCTGCAGATGCGCAGTAGGCCGAGAGTGCGGCCGATGTGTCTCCCGTCGATGCACAACCGACTCCGACGACGGGGCGTTTCAATTTCCTCAGCCGGTTCACTTGGCTGACCAAAACAGTCATGCCCAAATCCTTGAAACTCCCAGTGTGGCTAATCCCACAGTGTTTTACCCATAAATCATTCATACCCAGAAACTGTTTGCCAAATCTCTCAGCCCAAAACAGGTTCGAGTTACCTTCGAAGGCGCTGACGATATCGTCGGGGTCAATCTCCGGCAACACCCACTCCTTCTTGCTCCACACACCGGACCCATAAGGCCATGTGGTTTTCCCCACGCGTGAATCGAAGAGGTTGCGCCAGTACGCGCCGTCGAATTTCTTCAAAGCTTCCATGTCGTGCTGAACGTCGAGCAATCCACCAGATCGGCTCCGGTAAACGACCTCGTCGAGCGAGTACCACTCAGACGAGTCGGCGCCGGCGTTAAAGGGCACGTACTTGGCCGAGAAGTTGCTACGGTCTTCTCCAGAGGCCGCACGATGGCGCCGTGCTTCGTCTTTGATGTTCTCGTCGGCAGAGCGGCGATTCTTGGTGGTCGACAATGACGGAGAGCCATTAGTCGGCGTGGAGGAAGACGAATCGGAAGTAGCGGATGGTCGTCGGATTCTGAGAATGGGATTGCGGAAATTTGGGTTGGCTTGGAGCTTGGGTTTGTAAGAGGGGAAAGAAATGGCGGGGTTTAACAGCGAAGAGGCAGCCATTCTGAGGCGGCGGCGGCGGCGGCGATAATGTCTTATAACAAGGCTGCTTAGATTATAACTCCACTTCCAGACCTTCCTTTTAACCTAGCAAAACGAGCACGATTACAAAGAAAAAAAGGCCCGCTGAAGGCCCACTCCCAAAGCCCCTCCACCGTCCGCGTTCGAACCGTACAACGTCCTTGGTTATCAAATTAGTGAACCTTGTTTCCATGAGCTCTGCTCTCCAATGAACCAGTCGACTGTGTTCGAGCCCAAGCTGAGACCTCGACACCATTAGTTGGATGGTGGCAAGGTTTTGGGATACATGGCTCATCATGGGCTCGAGGCCAGCCAATGTATTGGCTATGAGACAGATGATGATGACCTTGTGTCGATCATCATGGCTACACGTAATCATTACTCTTATCTTGATTTACTTGAACAAAGTTGATAGTTTTATCTTTTACATTTAAAGTTGAAAAAGTTTCGTTTTGTTTGTTTTTTTGGCTCAGGTTGTGGTTGGAGTCGAGGACATTCTCTAAAAATTATCGTTTTAAAGGATGACGGGGGAAGAGAGTGGAGAGATCTCTCGAGTTAGCTAAACGGCACTGGGGCTGGGGTTTATATTTCTCATTTTGTCCTTGTCCCATTTACTTTATGTGTTAAAATCCAAGATGGTAATAGGTGTGTGAAGGCTTTCTCGTCCTTACTTTACTTCGTGGATATTTCTAGGTCTTGATTCCATAAAAATAAATAGAGAATTTTGCAGAATGAAGATTGAAATATGAGATGGGAGTGGATTTGTGGAAGACTTTTCTATCCATATTGTACCTTGCCTTATGAATATCTCTAAGTGCCACGTTGGTAAATATTTTAGTCTTGGAGTAAATACAATGTCGAAGGAACTTGACTAATGTATTGCAATATGCGTCAAATGAATTGTTTGATTGTAAAAGGGTAAACACGTAATTGCACACACGTCACATTGCAAAATTGTTAGTAATCTGCAATTATAAGTTCAAGGATCTATTTAAGTTAAAAAAAATAGTCTATTTCCAAAGATAGGATTAAAGGTCATTAATTTCTCAAATTGTACATTAATTTATCAAATTTACATTTTATTTTGCATAAATTAAAGTTTTAGAAATAAACAATTTTGAATTAGTCTAAAAAAAAATTCTTTAACCAAATCACATGTAATTTGAAACCCATATTTCGATCCGAGACATTTCCATGATACTCGTAACAAAGTTAACATTTAGACTATATCAATCAATTGTTAGATGAACACGACTCTCCACAATGGTATGATATTGTCTTTTTGAGTATGCACTTTGTTTTGGGTTTCTAAAAAAGCCTCAAACTAATGGAGAGAGTATTCATGGATTATAAGCTCATGATCATTTCCTAAATTAGCCGACGTGGGACTTCATTCGACATCAATAACTTAAAAAAAAACTCAACTTTAAATTTATTGATATATGAACGATAATAAAAACATACATCGAATTATAGATGAGAACGTAGTTAATTAAAAAAATATTAAAAAGGCAATTAAAAATAAAAGGAAAATGTCGAATTGGAGTTGAATATATGACGAAGATTGTGGAGATAATTACCTTAAAAGAATATGGAACATAATATCATTTATTTGAAATATAAAGAAAAAAAATGACTTTTTTTTAGGGAAAATGTGCGACTAAATTAATACTCACCGTATCTTCTTCCCGCCCCCCGAGTATCAAGGCGCCAACCAATAATTAGCAGGCATCAGATTGGCAGTGACGTCATATATTCCCTCCATTTAAATGTTTTAATTTACATAAAAATTCACCAAATCTAATCACTTTATAACCTGACCCAACACGAAAATTTGAGTCGACTATATGAGAATCAAAACTCGTATATATATTATTGCTCATTCTACACGGTAAACTTAGGTTTTGAATTTCATTTGTCCACGTGTGGCTAAATAGTAATACGAAAAAAAAAAAATTTGGAACTCGTGAATCTAGTATGTTCATTCTACATTGTACAGTTAATTTTGGATTCTACTAGTCTACGTAATGTGATTTAACGACGTGTGATTCATGGGCGAGTATGACAAAATCATCATTTACGGGTAAAAGTAATAAACAAACCATAGTTTGATGGCTTCACTTCCGATTTCTCACACACAAAAAAAAAAAAAAAAAAATAAATAAGAAACATTGATTTAGTTTTGAAAATAAATTAAAAAAAAAAACATATGGGTGTAAATAATGTTTTTAAGTTTAAGTTACAAAAATAAAAAATTAAAATTAATAATTTGAAATTCATCCCATTTTTATAATTAATGCTTAGGCTTAAATTACAATTTTAACCTTTAAAATTTTAAATTTTAAAAGTATACATATAAACACAAAAAAATAAANCGTTTTTCTGTACCACTAATGTTAAAATTTTGTTGTATTCCCGACATTCTCGTATCCTCATCGTCAATGGTTGTTAAAAAAAAATGATTATTTAAAAGTTTTTTTTCGAGTTCAACAATACCGGAGTGAAAATTCGAATCTCTTAGTCTATTTGTCGAAAATGTATATTTTATTTCAGTTGAATTATGTTCATTTTTGCAATCCCAAACATAACTGTGTAAATAAGATATTGGATTTCTACCTTGTACATGTTACATTAATAATTAAAATATTATAGAATTTAAATACCAAATATTTACAAGTCACAACGTATCAGCATTATTACGACGTTAAATGTTTTTAATTTTTAATTATAATAATCTTAAAATCAATTATAACTTTATTTTTGAGTTGTTGAGAGATGGCAAATTGTGTAAATAAAGCAAACAACATGGGCAAAGACCGTAGGGGCCTTAATCAGCGCTCTAAGGTTGGTTTTAGAGCATAATTATGAGTACTTGAGACAGATAGTATGTGGAGGCCACGACTGTTATACCAACGCCAACTGACCTCTCACCATTTTCACAAAACCAAAGCAATTTATTCCCCAAAATTGTAAGAACTAAATTTTTTAAACTTTTAGAGAGAGAAACCCCTTCAAACCGGAAATGCTGCTTCAAACTTTTTGCTTTCGTTTATAAACAAACAATCGGAAGAAGCTTTGAAAAAGGGGGGTAACCCACAAAAAATTTGAAAGAAACAAACAACTTAGACGCAGCTTTGTTCTCTGTTCTTCCTGTTTATCCTCTTATTTCAACCTTCTATATTTGTATCAGCTTCAATCCGATCTAACTTTTCGAGTTAGCGGCTGGGGAAGATCTTTTGAGGGGTTTTTATTGATACCCATTTGCGAACTCCAGTTTTGGTAGCTTTGTTTTTGGCCATCTCAGCTGTTGAAGCTTTGTGGGTACTTGTTTGTTTGCTCCGATCTGGCTCGCCAAGTTTTTGGTTCCTTTTGACTCATTTTTCTGTATTGGATGAGTTAACACGGGAGATCTCTGTTTACAATCACCATGGTAACTTCGATGGAATGCTTGATATTCGTTTTGTTTATACATTGTAATATGTTGGGTTTGATGGAATGCTTGCTACTTTCAGTTGAATTTTGAATTTGAAGTTGTACTATTGGGTAGAGTTTTCAATGGAATGTGATTTTATTTCCATTTTCTGAGCTTAAACTATGTTGCCAGTTCATGCTGGTCTTATTTATACTCCTTCAGATTGTGGATTACCATCAGGAATAGTTGTAGTTGTGAGTTTAATTTTGTAAGTTGTGTAGGCTGAATTGGAATATGGAACACCTCTGGAAATGAACTGAACTGGGGGATGAAAGCATATCCTAGTTGTTCCAATTCGACCGAAGAGATCTTTTGTGAGATCCCATATTGGTTGGGGAGGTGAATGAAATATATTTATAAGGGTGTGGAAATCTCTCTCTAGTAGACGCGTTTGAAAACCTTGAGGGGAAGCTTGAAAGGGAAAGCCCAAAGAGGACAATATCTGCTAGTGGTGGGCTTGAACCGTTACAAATGGTATCAGAGCCAGACATTGGGCAATGTGCTAGTGAGGAGGTTGAGCTCCGAAAGGGGGTGGATTTGGGGGTCCCACATCGATTGGAGAAGAGAATGAGTGTCAGCGAGGACGCTGGCCCTAAAGAGGGTGGATTTGGAGGTCCCACATCGACTGGAGAGGGAACGAGTGCCAGCGAGGAGGCTAAGCCCCGAAGGGGGGTGGATTTAGGGTCCCACATCGATTGGAGAAGGGAATGAGTGTCAGCGAGGACGCTGGACCCTGAAGAGGGGTGAATTGTGAGATCCCACGTCGGTTGGAAAGGAGAAGGAAACATTCTTTATAAGGGTGTGGAAACCTCTCCCTAGCAGACGCGTTTCAAAAACCTTGAGGAGAAGCTCGAAAGGGAAAGCCCAAAGAGGACAACTACCTATTTCGATATTGTACCTCACATAGGGCTGTAGTTTCCCCCTCTAATTTTATGTACAAATGGAGTTTCCCTATACAGGCGTTTGTTGGTGGATGACAAGTACATGGAACTATGAACTTTACCCTTTAGCTTATATTAGAAGGCGCATATGCTGAAATGTGTTCATTTTAAAGTTAATAAGAAGCATTGAAAAAGTGAAGAGTTGAAAAGAGGAGAAAATAGCAAAGAGAGCCTACACAAAGACACTTAAGTTGGTATCTATCAAAGAAGTAGTATAGTTACAAAAAAGAGTACAATTGATCAAATGAACGACCCCACAATTCCGACCAATCTCTCGGCCATTTAAAAAAAAAAAAAAAAAATCTTGGGTTCCTCGTTCTCCAACTTTCTCACAGAGATTGACTGCCGAAGACCACAAGATTGCAACTTTAGACTTGATGGAAAGGAGCTAGTCAATGCCAAATTCTGTAGAAGCACCTTGTGAGATCCCACATCGGTTGGAGAGGAGAACAGAGCGTTGTGTAGAAACCTCTCCCTAGTAGACGCATTTTAAAATCTTTACGGGAAGCTCGGAAGGGAAAGTCCAAAGAAGACAATATATGCTAGCGGTGGACTTGGACTATTAAAAATGATATCAGAGCCAGACACTGGGCAGGTGTGCCAGCGAGGACGCTAGGCCTCCAAGAGGGG